GCTCTGCTCCGTGGGGCCCAAGCCACTGCTGGGGCATTTTTAACTAGCAGCGTGGGGGGAGGTTACCGGGGGGCTGGGCAGGCTGCGGGTCGGGAGTGAGGGGCCCCTGGCTGGGGGGGCTGCATGTGGGGAGCGAGGGTCATGGACAGAGCCGTGGGGGCAGCTGGGGCAGGGGCACTGGGATGGAGCAGGGGGGCCCGGCTGTGGGGAGCAGGGGGGCACTGCCTGGGGGAGTGGGGGAGGGGTGCTGGGCTGCAGCAAGGGGGGCTGGCGGGGGAGAAGGGGGGGCCCGGCTGGGGGAGTAGCGGTGGGGGGCCTGGCTGGGGCTGGCGGGGGAGAAGGGGGGGGGCCCGGCTGGGGGAGTAGCGGTGTGGGGCCTGGCTGGGGGAGGAGAGCGGGGGAGGGGGGCTGGGATGCAGGGGGGCTGGCAGAGGAGAACGGGGGCCGTCCATCCCCTGACCCCGTGTCCGTCTGTCCCCAGATGCTGCGGGAGGGACCGAAGGACAAGAAGGAGGAGTGATGGCTCTTCCCCTCCCCCCCTTCTGGCTGCCTGTGTTGCTTTCAGTGGGTGGGGCCTCTCTTGGACCACGCCCCCTGCTCTACAGTGGGTGGAGCCTACAGTATTCAGTGGGGGGGGCTCGGCTCCCCTCCCCCAATGGGGCTCTGACCTTCCCCCTCTGCTCCCAGGAGGTGGGGCTGCTGTGCTCACCCCCATCACTGGGCTGGGCCTATTCCAAGCAGGGGTGTCAGAGCCCCTGTGCCTCAGTTTCCCCTCTGTGTGATCTGCTCTTTCTGCCTTTCCTGGGCTGGGGGACCCCTGGATTCCCCATTGAATCACAAGGTTTGTGGGGAGTCGCGATTCCCCCCCAGCTGTTCCCCTTGCTTGTAAGCCCTGTGTTTGCGGGGGGCCCAGCTGCTGTGACCCCCCCTGCGCCAGGGCCGGTTCTGTTACTGGCACCGGGTCTGTAGCGATGTGAGCTGCGGCTTCAATAAAGGGTCAGACATCAGGCTGGGTGCATGGCGTGTTGCTGAATGGGGGGTGGGGGGCTTCCTGGGTACCACAATGCGTCTTCCCCCCACGCTCCTCCCCCAGGGGGCAGGGGGGCGATCGCTCCTGGTAAACTGAGGCATTTAGAACCCTGTGGGCTGGATTCCTAGTCCCCACCCCCCTTCCATCCAAGCGACTGTCTGTGCTCCCAGCGCCCTCGGATGCCGGGGTTCTCTGGGTGGGGGGAGGGTGAGTCAGGGTAAGTTTCGGGGAGGGAGCACATGTTGTCTGGGTGGGGCAGGGCCCGGGGGAGCCTTGTGACCCAGTCCCTGGACTGCAGCGGGGGGGCGGGAGCAGAAGAGAGCCAGGATGCCGGGGTTCTCGCCTGCGGTTAGGCCAGGCCCACTCCCTGACTCCCCACTGGGAGGCCTGGCTTGGGGGGGGGGGCCCTGGCCAGGGATCTACTGAAACCTCCTCTGCTGAAAGCCAGGGGCCGGGTGGGGGGTAGATTCTGCCCGGCCCTTGTCTGGTCTAAGGGGCGCTGGCTCCTCAGTGCCCTGCTCCCCCCTGCCTCAGTTTCCCCTGCTCAGGAATGCAGGGTCCCCCCCCGCCGGGCCGCACTGTGGGAGCTGAGGCCAAGGGTAACAAGCAGCAGGGCCAGGAGCTGTTTCTCCGCCCGGCCCCGGCTCCACCCTGACATTCCTGGGCAGGACAGCGCGGCCCCGGCTTGAACCGTTTGCCCCCGCCCCCTCCCAGAGCCGGGGAGAACCCAGGCGTCCGGCTCCCAACCCTCCCCTTCCAGAGCCGGGGAGAACCCAGGCGTCCGGCTCCCAACCCT